GAGTTTCCCTTGGCATTCGTGCAAAGGCTGCCACAGTGGCAGGAGCAGGCTGCACATAATCTTCATAGGATAGGCCGTAAGGAATGAGTTACACTGTCTCTCTCTGCCATCCCCACCAACTGCTAGGACATCAAAGGAGGCAAGGCAGGATTTTTCTGCTGGCGCACAGAGCTCCCCACAGTCTGGGCCCCTAAAGAGCCAGGGTCACGTCGCCTAGCAAAATGAAAGCTGAGAGCGGATCTGATGGCTGTCTATAAATACACCAGGAGAGTAAACACTGCAGCAGGAGAAGAGCTATGCAAGCTAAGGGACAATGCGAAAAGAGAACAAATAGGTATAAACTTGCAGTTCTTTTGGCTGCAATGGAAGTACTGTAGGTTTCAAACTACCCGAGCAGCCTCCCCATCGGAGCGTGGGGCAGAAGCCAAGTTAGTGCTGCTGGAGCTCAGTTGGTTAATGAATGGCGAAGCTGCCTGTGATAGCTGGGGACTAGAGTCAGGCACAACAGAGGGCTCCTCTGGTCCTATGTACTTGGGCCTTTTACCATGTCCGTCACTGGTACTTAGAGCTGACTCTCTTTTCCCCAAGGCTCAGCAAAGACTGGTCTGAAGGCCACGGAGGGCTCTTTATTGTGCAACTCCCTCCCCGGAGAGGTGCACTGAGCCCCTTGCAGGCGGCTTTTGGATGCCCTGAGGGTCTCAGGCATTTCAGCCGATCTGTTTGCACCATTCTGATTCAGGCCTGCCCCTTGCCCTTTTGTTTGCTACATTCTTTGGCTGGTTGGAAACTATTCCCTTTCGGGAGTGGGGTGGTTTTTCTGATGCCGATTGGGTTTGTATTGGAGCCAGCATTTTTGATTCTGTCTGGCCATATATTGTATTTGGCTGCTTGGTTCTTCTTCTGTTGTAGGTTTTATAGTATTTTGCACTTGGCTTTCATCGTATGGCCTTTTAGCGTCTCACAACAGGCATCTTTAGAAATAGATTAAACATCTAAAAATAAACACATGATTCATAGTCAGGCTTTAAGGCAGGTACAAATAAAGGACTCCTATAAAACGGAGTTTGGGGAGAATTTATTGGATACAGTTACTGCTATTTATACCATTTCCTCTCCCCAACCCTGAGGAATAGTAAGCCATTCCTGAATTAATGTCAGTTCAAAGCAGGAGGAGTTTACTTAGCTAGTAAAGAATAAAGACAATTTAGGAGCAACTGCAAGGCATGGTGAGAAGAGTGCACCAGTTTTTGCAATGCTTTGAGAGGGACTGGAAATAATCTGCAGTTTGGGAAGGGAACAAATGCCGGTTAGGTGGGTAAGAAGAGACAAGAGATGCCGTGGATTCATAAGGCAATTAACCCTCTGGAAGGAAAAGCTATTAGAGGGACCCGCCGGAATGGGTTCTGAACCACAAGGCTTGACCTATATTGAGTTTCATAAAAGCACTTAAGAGCCCCTTTTTGGCCCTTCAATGAAAGGAAAAAAATATTGGCTAGGCAGGCTCTGGAGGCAGGCCCCTCCAGCCCAGCTGGAGCAGACCCCTCAGTGTGGAAGGGCCAGACAGAAACAGGTTTGGGCTTCTGCAGAATCCCGTAAAACACCATACACATATGCAACCCGTTTTGCTAACTGTGGCTCCCCTGCTTTCTGGGTGTTTCGGAAGGCTGCTTTTAAGCCCAGCCAGATCTCAGGAGGTTTTATGAGTTGCATGGGTTTGTTTGTTGTTTTTTAATCCTCAGACAGTATTAAATGTTCCGAAATGGCCAGCGATTAGCCCGCAGGTGATTGTTTTATTTAATTAACTGCTCACTGCATCCGCCTGACTCTTCAGAAGGGGATGGTATGTATTGGCAGGTGCTGATAACGCCACTGGTGGGAGGGAGGCGGGGAGGGAAAGGTCAGAAGTGATTATAGCACAGAATAGCTCTTGGCCGGCAGGTGTTGAAGGACAGAACCTAGTAAATGAAACCACTGCGAGCACCTGGCCGGCAGGCTCTGTTTACCTGTGAGCAGTAGGTGTGTTACCGTCAATAGATGCCCGGCAGCTGGGCCTTGTTCTAATGGAGTCTGGGAGCCCCCCAGGAGCCTGCGCTGCAGAGTGGCTATTCCTAGAGGCATTCAGACATTTGGACTCCATGGGACTGTGTAAACCAAGCACCGGGGGAGAGAGGCACTGGGAGGATCATCTAATTACTTGTAGGTCAAGTAGGAAGTTGGAGCGAGTCATGGGAGCTGAGTGGTGCTCTCCAGTTTCCATGCTGACCTCCCTTGCTGTTGGCCAGTGACGTAGGAAGCCAGTGGAGTTCACTATAGGAAAAGTAAATATTGTCGTTCCTAATAAAGAATGGTTTATTATATAACGGAACAGAGGCGCCTTCTCTTTTTGAGACCACACTAAGCTAGCTGGGGATAGTAGCCAACGCAGCTGCCTGCAAGACGGTGTTTTCAGACCATCACAGGCCTTGATGCCAGGCACGCTTCCATTTCCCCTGCAAGGTGACTGTTTTGAACAAACCTTTTGATGGCCGGGGGATATTTTGCCCCATGTCCTCCCAATGCACTTGGACTCTGCTTCTGAGCTATGCAGGGCGGGAGAGGGGGCATCTGATCATTACAAACTCAACAGTGACCTAGCTGAAAATGCCCAGCCCTCCGTGGATGTTGGTGGAGCTATAATGATTTACATTAGCTGAGGGGCCGGCCTCCATCATTTTGGACTTATAGGACCATGAGAAAGAACTCAGAAGCGGTAGGATGATAACAGCGCAAGCTTTCTGCGAGTGACAGGAGCTAGCATTATTCTGTCTGGCACACCTCTAAGCAGGTGTTAAGGCCTCCTCTGTGACGATGCAGAGATGAGGGGAAATAACGTCAACCTCCATAGATATGTGAGACAAACATGTGAATGGTAGGTTGTCAGTCTAAACGCTGCTATTAATAGGATTTACACAGATTAGCAAACCAGGCTATTAAATGCCAGATTGTATTTCATATTATGGAAAAGAAAATGAGGCTGCATACCAGGCAGGCGTTCCAAATGGTGGGACACATTAGTCCGAGAAATGGCCTGCCAAGAAACGTTGTGGAAGCTCCAGCCCTGGGGTCACTGAACGCTGCAGTGTGCTGAGCACAAGACAACGTAACAAAGGACACTATCTTACGGGTGTGGGAAACAGAGCAAAAAGCGGCTTGTATTGGTAGTCGCCAACCCTTTCAAGCAGCTGCACCTAGGACACGTCGTCACCTGGAGGTTCAATGTCTGATCTCAGTCCCACTGGTATAAATGCAAGGTTACTTCGCTGGTTCTTCAGTGACTGAGACACAGACACCAATGGGGCCCAAGGAAAAAAGCCTTGCAATTCAGATTCCCTTTTCCATGCATGTCATAGAGGGGAGTGGATACCACAAAAAAGGGAAGGAAAAGGCCTCGCAAAGAGAGCTACAGAGCATTGTCCACTCTCTCTTCTGTGAACAGACACACAGTCATAGAGAGATTAACCTGTCTTGGTACAGTCCAGAAGCAACGGGTTTAGTCCAGACTCATGCCGAAGACTGCTCGTATTCAATCCAGCTGTAAATGGAGACCTGGTCATCTGGGACTGGGGGATCACAAGCAGCCAGGCTTGATGTTAGCAGCATCACTCACTTGTGTGCTGCTCATTACAGACACTGGTGTGCCTTAAGCATACCCTCAATGGCTGCAGGGCTGGGTGGACCTCTGCTCTCGACCTCCGGCACGTATCTGCTCCAGCCCTTCCAGCAGGCAGAGCCTCAGAAAGTGGGAGAGGTGTCACGGCTGGG